TTTTTTTTTTTTTTTTGAGAAGGGTTTCTCTGTAGTTTTTCGAGCCTATCCTCGTGTAGACCAGGCTGGCCCTGAACTCACAGAGACAGGGACAGAAGGGAAAATCTACTTGCTGGAAAAAAAAAAAATCCTCACTTAAACTTCAGGGAGCCATAAGCACTTAAAACCCATGCAGCTTCAGGTAATCATCCTTAGCCTGCCCAGTCTCTATCAGGAGCTGCTGTATGCTCGCTCTGGGGCTGAATTACTTCTCCATATTCTAGATGCTCAATTATAGTATGATGGCAACAAAGGCAAATTCTTCTTAAATGCCTCACTAGCTTCTTTTTATCATAATTATCAGTAATCCCTGGGATAGCAGTCATCAGTGTCTTCCTGCCAGTAGAATTCTTACATGGATATAATCTTCAGTGCCATCAGGAAGCAGGTCATCAACTTTGGAAGTTCTGGAGAACAAGCATTTGATACAATTCCTTCTCCTTGGTGGAAATGGCCTGCGCAAGACGGCTGCAGAAGAGGGCTGGCGGCAGGGACGGACAGACAGGGAGCCTTGGAGCCTCAGGAAGTGAGGGGTCTGGAAGGAGAGTCAGCTGAGTCCTGAGCAGCAACTCAGTGACGAGGCCTCTTTTCTGCTCTTTATGGCTCTGTATAGCCTCATTTCAATCTTTCTGTAAAAATTTCCCTTTACTTATCTGATGGCCCTTATATAAATAGACATATTTGAATACATATATTTATTTGAATAAGTATATTTTCAAAAAACTTAAAGGCTTGCAGGGACAAAATAAACAATCTTCTCTTTCATCTAAATCCTCTTATTTTTCAGTGTATATACAGACTGCATCCTTTCCATGAAGTCTTCCCTAAAGTTTGCTGACCTCAAATTTTCTGGGCTCCTTGCAATCCTTCACTTCAGCTCACTATTTAACACTAGGCAGTGACCACTACCATTGCACCACCGGGGACAGACCAGGCACTCTACTGTTTGGTTTGTGGGCTTACTTACGTTTTGGTCTCTCTGGACAATTCTTCAAGACTGGTATTTCCTCCATTTTAGAGGTAAAGGCAAACATGTAGAAAAGTTAAATACTTTGTCCTAGGTCTATGAACTTGGGAAGGGCCATTTCAACAGACAGGATTCCAACCTAGGTCATCTAGAGTCTCGTATATCTTTGGTTAAAACCTCAGACCCTAGAATTACTGTGCGTGAAACATATAAAAAGGAATGACTCAAAAATGCTTCCATGCAACATACCACAACTGAACATGTAATTCCCTAGCTTGGTTCTGTGAGGCAAGCCAGAAAAGTAGCAAGTGATAAACCTTACATCCGTGTCCCTCACATTCCAGATCTAATCAATAACACCTTCAATTCATTTAACCTGTTGGGCTTTCAATTTTGTCCTGATCTCTTTATTACCATCACTAGGTTCAAACCATCCGGAAAAATTATTTGACAATTTTTCCTCTCTCCTACCAAAATATGACTCAATAAAGGCAATATCCCAGTCTTTTGTGATGTTACAGCCAACTTTTTTTAATGCCAAGAATAAAAGCGCTGGCCGGGCATGGTGGCACACACCTTTAATCTCAGCACTCAAAAGGCAGAGGGAGGAGGATCTCTGTGAGTCTGAAGGCAACCTGGTCTACAAAGTTAGTTCCATGACAGCCATGCTGTAACACAGAGAAACCCTTTCTTAAAACCAAATCCAAAAAGAATAAAAGTGATCTATAAATGGAGGCCATTATTATTTTTGCTCTATTTGCTATTGTAAATCAAAGCAGGACCTGGTAATCACACTGCAACTTTACTTTTATCCCCATGTTTATCTGGGTATATGCATATGTGTGCACATGCATACATGCAAACAAGTTTGAGAGCATGTGTGGCAGGGAGTGTTTGTGGAAATAAGAGAATAACTTCCAGGAATCAGTTCTCTCCTGCCAACCAGCCTCTCGAGGGTCCTCTTTGTACAAACTTCTAGGACTGCCTCTTTTAGTGCTTTTGTATGTTTCACTTTACCGACCTAGCATGAAGTTTTTAAATTTCAATTAATTTAGAGAATTAAAAACCCACTGGAAAACAAAATGATGGCAATCTCCTCACTGTACAAATGAATCTGAAGAAAGCTCTTGACTTTCCAAAGTTAGATTTCTAGTGTCAGCTCTGGGTGAAGACAGCAGTTCTGATGGATGGTTTGTGCTAGTAGTAGACCCTTCCTTCTACCACAGTCAGACCTGTTTCTCAAACCTCCTCTGAAGACCTTTGACCTTAACCAAATGCCAGTCACATCTGGCTTAAAGAAAATAGTTTAAACTAATACAGTCTCCAACTCACTTTAAATTATCAGTAATACGCTTCAGTAAGGCTGTAGGGGCATGTTTTTCTCTAATGTTGCAAACCTTGTAAATGGTATAATTAAACTCTCTGGCAAACTAAGCAGATGGTAAACACTCAATGCTAGCCACATATCATAAAAAGAAAAAACCAGAGCCGGGCGGTAGTGGCGCACGCCTTTAATCCCAGCACTCGGGAGGCAGAGGCAAGCGGGGTCTCTGGGAGTTCGAGGCCAGCCTGGTCTACAAGAGCTAGTTCCCGGACAGGCACCAAAACTACAGAGAAACCCTGTCTCGAAAAACCAAAAAAAAAAAAAAAAAAAAAAAAAAAAAAAAAAAAGAAAGAAAAAAGAAAAAACCATACTTAAACCCATAAATAAGAACAGTGTATTAACACCTACAAAGAACTGTAAATAAGCTTAAATGAAGGCCATTGACCCAATACAGTGGAAACTACTCATCCACATTTGTGAACAGACAGAAAACCAGCCTTGTAAATGGGAGTCTCTCTAGCTGTCACGGCTCAGTGCGTGTTTTACTGAACAAAGCCAACTAATGACTGTAAGGGAGCAACCAAACGTATGATTAATAAGGAACTGGTTCACTTTAGAGCAGCCAGCAAATGCCAGTAAAGCCTTGTTAGAATATACATGCTAAAGAGAAATTAAGTCATAATCATGAATAATTATAATAATGAAGAATGACTACTGTCACAAGAAGAGAAGAGAATCAGAGCATTCATAACCCCAAAGCTCATCGCTGTGAATACAAAGGAGAACTCACTCACCTTTGATGGACTTGACATCTGAGGTCTTCTCTTGCTCTTTACCTTTCACTAGAACACAAAAAGGCATCATGACCAACTTCTGCAGTCAAAGAGATCCATTCTATAAACTGTCACCATCAGAGAGCCTTGAATCTAACAGATGAGTATTCTAAATTCCAAAACAATGAACTATGTGCCCTGGGGGTGGGTCAGTTCTCAGAAAAGAATTCTCTGAGAAAGAAACCTTTGAACAGCACTTGATCAAAATCCCTGGGAGGGTTTCTTAAGAGCCAACTTTCAAAACAGCTATATTCAAGTTCTGCCTCTTGCTACTTATCAGCCATGTAATCTTGGACAAGTTATTTTATTTAACTGAATGTTAATTTCCTCAAGTAGTAAAATCAGGTCATTAATAAAACTCACTTAGAGGGTTGCTGATGAAAAATGAAACACTTGTAAAAGGCATCTGAAATGAATTTAGGATGTCAGCGCCACGAATCACCCACTATGCCTGCCTTCAAGTGCAGTTAAGAAAACCCTCTTTGGTTATATATAGCATCTTAATTCTTTTGTATGCCCTCTCTAGCTTTGGGTACAAACCTCAATTCCTAAGCCTAAAGTCTAACAAGTTGTCTCAAAAATGATTACATCACCCTTCCTTTATTACACGAAACAGTGAAAATTCTACAGCAAAGAAGCTTACAACAGCAAGCAAGAAAGCTGTAAGTGCTCTAGGCAAGTGTGGATTCTATTATAAGACCTGACATGAGGTTATTTTTAATCTGCTTTACTTTTCTTGTGTTTGTTTTAAACACTAAATTTCCTTGAATTCATCTTGAGTAGCTTATCAAAGTAAGAAATCTCAGAATGTGCCGTGTCTCTATATTCTGAAATATTAAAGTTGAAAAGCCAGTAGCAAAAAATAGCTGGCTGTCAGAGAATCTCCTAGCATGTGCCCAACTCCCCCACGTCAGAGAAGTGCCCTTGCCTTCAGCAAGTCTACTTCCAAGCATGTAGGCATCAACAAACAAAAGATACGGTGCTGGCTGGTACTACTCACTGCCGTCAGGAACATAAAACAAGGATGCCTGATGGAGTGACTGGTATCTTACAGCAGTCCTCCTGCCTCAGCCTTCCAAGTGCTGGAACTGCATGCATGCACCACCCACCAGCGCACTGTGGTCACATTCATCTAACAAGAAATGGAAAAACCTGTGCTCTGGAGTGACTAGAATTACAAGATTATCATTTTCCTTTTAAATAATACCTTAAAATCTGTCATGACTGTCCTTATTTATATTCCACATAGAAATGTCCCCTAAGAATTAGCACTGACCTTTTTTGGTTGGGGGTTGGGGTGAGACAGTATTTCTGTGTAGCTTTGGAGCCTGTCCTAGAACTTGCTCTGTAGAACAGGCTGGCCTTGATCTCCAAGATCCTTCCACCTCTGCCTCTGCTGGATTAAAAGCAGGTGCCACCACCACCCAGCTAGCACTGCTATTTATTTATTTGTTTATTTATAGGCAGGGTTTGTCTATGCAGCATTGGGTGTACAGGAACTCATTCAGCAGTCAAGGCTGGCCTTGAACTTGGATCTGTCTGCCTCTGTCCCAAGGGCTGGAATTAAAGGTGTGCACCACAGATTTCTAATCATCCTTGTTTTTATCATATATTTTGATTTCTAATCATCCTTGTTTTTATCATACATTTTGAGAAGTGGATCTCAGAGGTTCCAGTCCACTGCTTGCTGTTGCTGTGGGTTTGTGAAAAGGTAAAACATACGAATAGAAAAGTGGTCAAGATCCTTTCATCATAACAGTCAGGAAACAGGACCAATGCCATTAACATCACCTGTATATTTCTAACTTCAACTATACATCCTCAGCTTTGCTCCTTATCTAATCCAGACTGCTGCAGCTAACTGTGGTCCACTTTTATCTGACAGGTTTACTTAAATTACCTGAAACTTAGCTCCAACTTGGCTCATGTCTACTTATCATCAGGTTTTTAGTATGGACCTTCTCAGGGTAAAACTTCAGTCCATCCTTAACTGTCTCTCTTCCCTGCTCGGCACCTCACCAGTCAGCAGTCCTTTATGAGTTATCCCAGAACTTAACCTAAATTCAGCCATGTGTCACCACTTTTGACAGTTAACATTGGCTGAGGCAGGCGCCTCCATTTAGGCAGAGTGGCTAAGGAAGTCCTCTGAGATGTTACTTGAATTTCTGCTTGACTGTCAAGAGGGAGCTGATTTTTATAAAGACTGAGAAAGCACAAGTATTTTGCTATCACCTTCTTTATGGGGTAACTGTTTATCTAGCATGAAAAAAAATTCCACATCTCCTACCTCTTATTCTTTATCTGTATCTATACATCTTTATCTATATTAAAGGTTCACAAACTTATCCTGAAAAAGGGCCAGAGTATAGACATTTTCAAAATTTTTTAATTGGGGTTGGAGAGATGGCTCCATGCCTAAGAGCACTGGCTGCTCTTCCAGAGGACCCAGGTTTGATTTTCAACACTTCCATGGTGGCTCATACTGACTGGAACTCCAGTTCTAGGGGATCAACACTCTCTTCCAGCCTCCAAGAGCACAGCATGCACATGAAGCACAAACATATATGCAGGCCAAACATCCATACACGGTTTTTGTCATCTCAAAGTTTTATTTTATTTACTGCACTGTGTGTGTGTCTATCAGTATACACATGTATGGAGATCAGAGTACAATGTTTGAGAGTCCTTTCTCCTTTCACTATGAGTTTCAGGCACTGAGGTCAAGTTGCCAGCAGGGCAAAGTGCTGTACCATCCCACAAGTCCCAAATTGTAACTACTTTAAGTTCTGCTGACCTCAAAGGTCTCTGCTTGCACTATTAAACACACAGACACATCTGTGTTACAGTAACTGGTGGTGCGCTGTGCTGTTGAGATGGCTTAGTGGTCAAGAGCCTGTGCTACTCTTCCAGAGGACCCAGGTTTAGTTTCCAGCATCCATGATATGGCTCACAGTTATCCATAACAGGATACACACATGGTACAAATACATACGTGTACACAAAACATTCATGTGTATGTATACATATATATGCAAAACCGGAAAAAAAAACCTAATGGAGTGTATCTTGTCTTTGAAATACAGAAATAAATTTCAGGGACTACATAAACTGGATTAACCTGAATTTATCTTCAGAACCCAGTCAGTTTGGAGAAGAGGGCTGACCCCACAAAGTTGTACTCCGGTCTTACATGCCCAGTGACACTTGTGCACACACACAATAGTAAAAAATATATAAATAAAAATTCCAAATAAGAAGGAGCACAATTGGTGAATAAAACAAAATTTGAAATGATTTAGAGGGAAAACAAACAAACATCTGCTCTTGGGGCAGAGAACGGTATTTTAAAACAGCAGGCTGGAAAGATGGCTCTGTAGTGAAGCACAAACCACTGCTAGGTGTGGTGGCATGCGCCTTTCACCCATCACTCGGGCAGAGATGGGTCTCAGTTCCAGGACAGCTTGGACTACACAGAGAAATCCTGTCTCGAGAAACAAAAACCAAAACAAAAAAAGCAACAACAACAAAAATCAAGAGCACATACTACTCTTGTAGCAGACCCAAGTTTGGATCCTACCACAAGTGTCAAGTGGCTTGCAACTGACTAACTCCAGAGGATACGACACTCTTCTGAACTCAGGGCACCTGTATTCCTGTGCGCACATACAGACACACACACACACACACACACACACGCATGTGCGCGCGCGCGCACACACACACGTAATTTAAAGAATTTTAATAACAAATTTCTGAAGGAAGAAAAAAGCTCCATCTCAAATGCAGTTTCTGAGTGTACTGGAGTGGGCTGAAATTTGCTGCTCTTCTTAGGTCCAGCAAATGGCCATAGGATCTTTATTAGCCCGTGAAGGTTGAGGTCACTGAACAGAAGAAGGCATTCTCCTTTCTGCTTGTGTCTTTTGGGTTTCGGAGCCATGATCTATTAAACTGGCTGAAAGCACAGTGCCGAGTGGCCAGGTGTGATAGATAGTTTATGTTCTGGGAGCTATCTATCAGGCCAGGTGTGATAGACAGTTTATGTCCTGGGAGCTATCTATCAACGACATCTCTAAAAGAGAAAGCTGGCACAGTTAAAAAAGGATGAGAATAAGGAAAAGCATGGCTACAGTGGGGCAACTGTTCTAACCACTTTGCATTTGTTATCTCAGCCTGATGATAATCTTGCATATTTGCATAGGAAGATACCTACTTGAATGATTATCAACATCAATGTTTGCAAGTAAAAATTAAGAAATAAGTTTTATTACTAGGAAAACTAGTTTATTACTTGTTTAAAACTAATTACACAGAGATATATTTATAAAAGAATCAAGTAGTTACAATAAATTCCCATCACCCATATGGTGGCTCACAACCATCTGTAACTCCAGCTTTAGAGGATTAGATGCTTTCTTCTGGTCTCCTCAGGCACAGGTACACACATGGTGCACACACAAATAAAACACTCATACAAATAAAATAAAAAAGTCAGTGCCAATTCCTATGGAACACTTTCTATGTCAAAGTAGAAATAAAGGGACCATCATGACAGACTTTTTGCTTTTGGAGACAGGGTTTCTCTATGCAGCCCTGAAACTGTAGACCAGGCTGGCTTCGAACTCACAGAGGTCCACCTGCCTCTGGCTCCCGAGTGCTGGGATAAAAGGCGTGATCTACCCGTACCTGACCATGAGTGACATCTTTAAGATATTTTCAAAGACAAATGAGAATCTTGTAACTCCACCCATTCTAGAGCGTGTATACCAGAAGAGACAGACATGCCAGGCTCTATTACAGCTCTACAATCCCAATCCCGTACTCAAAAGACTAAGAAAGGACTGCTATGTTTAAGGGCCAGTAACAGCCACATATCAAGATACTGATATGAAAACCCCCCAAAAATAAAAGATGAAAGCCATGACAGAAATTACAAAAAGCATCTCTCAAAAGACTTAGACATAAAAGAAAAATTTAACACAATAGAGAGGTAAAAATAAGAAAATGAGAAAACACTAAGGTAATTTTTAGTTTTCCTATTATTTGGTTGCTGCTGTGTGTTTTACTTGCTTATCTATGTATGTATACCATGTGCATGCCTAGTGCCCAAGGAGGCCAGAGGAGGCTACAGGATTCCCTGGACCTGAAGTTACAGATGGCTGTAAGCTACCATGTGAGTTCCTCTGTGCAGTAACACAGGCTCTGAAGGGCTGAGCCACCCCCTGCCTCCTTTTCTAGCTTTGAGATTTACCATTTTAAATGAAATGTAATATAGTAAATCTCTATCAAGAAAGAAAAACAAAATGAGGAGGGTCTTTATAAGAGTTTTCGGAAGACAAGTGGGGATACATGCCTGCAATCCCAATACGACAGAGGCAGGGCACCCTGATCTAACCAGTAAATATTAAGGCCATGGCTACAAAGCTAGGCTGCCTCAACCTCAACGCCCCAAGAAGCTGTTTCTAGCTTCACCTGCCACATCCAGTCTCCGAAACTCATGAAATGTTTTTTTTAAAAAAGTACTTTTATTTATTTTGTGGGTGTGGACATGTCACAGCCTGTGTATGGAGGTCAGAGGACAGCTTATGGGAGCCACTCTTTCCCCTCCACCACTGTGGGTCCTGGGGCACAAACTCAGATGCTCAGGCTGCAGAGCAAGGGCCTTTACCTGCTGAGTCGCCACACAAATAATCAGATCACTCTTTATTGTCACGTTATTCCTCTCCAAGTTCTACAATATATGCTCTCTGCATTTGGAATAAAAACTCAATAATTTGGCGTGGACCCACCTATCTCTCTATGCCTCAGTCACAGAAGCTGGCTTGCCTTTCCTGAAGGGCACCAGCGCTTCATTCCTGGTGCCTACAGTCTTTCCTGACCTCTCTAAAGTTACCTCCTAGCACTGATCCAGGAGCTTATGTTTCAAGGTTACATCCTGAGTTCTTCCTCTAACACCCATCCAAAATGGTTCCTCTTCATAAATTACTCTCATTACACAAAATTCAGTTTGTAAAGGATATACATGCAACTATTTTAATTTTTTTTTTTTTTGCTTATCCATTGTCTACCAACAGCGACAATGAGCTCCATAGGTACAGAGACTACTAGGTCCAGACGACTCTTGAATGACATCCTAGCAGTGTATGGTCGACTGGACACTTGGTAGTGTGTGTTGAATAAACAGACAACACTCTGCTGTCGTGCAACATGAAATTAATCCCATACTTAGAATGTATCTTCCCCCTTAAAAAGTAGGCGCCCACCACTGTCAAACCAGGTCCAGTTAATGACTCCGGAGGCAGCATTAACATTAGGTACTGTACTGATGAAGCGTCCTGCCATTTTGCCAGCTAGCGCAGTCAGCCTCAGTCCTATGATTCTCAGCGGGGAGAGAAGTGGGTTAACTAGCTGTTCCAGGTTACAGAGTTTATGAAAAAGTCACGTGAACACAAGTCTGATTTAGCGAAATGTGTTTTCAAAAAAGAAAAAAAAATATTCTGTCTGTTACATCTTCTCTGAAGCAACAAGAGGGGACAGAAAGAACCATCGTCTGATCTAAAGAGATTTGCTTGTTCCATTTGCGTATGTATTTTTAATGAAATGCAACAATCTTCTCCAGGATCAAAATCACCCTGCCTCTACTTTAAAACGGAGCAAGCTTTTACAACTGAACACCAGAAACCTAAGTAGTTCATTTATAAAAACATCAACGATTCCAATAATTCGTAAACTTGCTAAATCAGCAAAAGCAGTCGTCTTCTGAATACGGAACTTCAGTAGTAAGAAATTTTATTTTAGGAATAACAGCGGGCCCCCTTCCGCTCTCCACCCCCGCCCCCAAAAGAGGAAACTGGAAAAAAAGCTCTGGTTGAACAAACAACAGTTTCACGTGGTTTCAGGTATAAGTCCCTCGATATTCGAAAAAGTCAGACTTCCTACAAGTAAAAGGATATCCCTGATCCATAGTGCGCGTGTGCACATAGACAACACACACATCCAAACCTCTGGACACCAAACACACCAGCAAAGCCATTCCTTAGCAAACAAGTGTTAACTTCTACGGGTTTGAGCGAGCACTTTCGGCCCAGAGTGACAATGCCCCCTCCGACCTCGCTGGAGGAGGCCACCTTCTACCCTGCAGAGTCCGGGGCAGCGCACCGCACCGCGCCGCGCCGCGGAGGTCGGCGCCGAGGCCAAGAGGCTCACCGAGAGCCTCGCAGCCGCCCTGACAAAACCCTTGCAGGTCGGCCGCCCCACCGCCGCCCGGCTCGCCCCCGGCCGGCGACCCCTCGGCTACCTTTCCGCCGGAAGAAGGACATGGCGGGGCCCGGGTCGGGGCGGAGGGCGCGGGGGGACTGTCGCGGGGAGGACCCTGCTCCCCTCATTCAGCAGCTGGCTGGGACTTCCGGGTCCGCAGGAGCCGCCGCACTAGCCCGAAAACAGCCCCTTCTTCCGGGTGTGGGCGCTGCCGCCTCCTCGGGATGCCCGGGCAGCTGCTGCCGCCATGTTATCAACAAGCCACCCGCCCGGAGTTCCGGTCCTTCCGCGCGCGGGGCTTCACGGGAGGCCCCGGCCCCGCCCCCTCCCGCGCACCTCCTCCCGCGGGGCCGAGGAGCGCGCCCGCCGAGTCCACGTGACCCGGCGTCCTCGCGTCCGCGAGTCCTTCCCGCGGGTGGCTCGGGTTGGTGGTGTGTCTTCACGAAGCCGGAGCCAGCACTGCTCCGCCGCCTTTCCACGGAATTTTGCTAAATGGCGCGGACTGACTAGCATTGCCCCGCCAGGTCTCCCGGACGCGCAGGCGAACCAGCAGGGCAGTCATTTTCGCTTACGTAGCTCCTGAGTCTCTGTCCCTCAAAGTGACCTCGGGAAGGAAAGAGGAGTAGTAGGCTTATTTTCAGAATGAGATCCCTACAGAAGCTCAAAACGGAAAGGGCCAGCAACCCAAAAGCCTCGACAATGAACCTTTTCTGTTCTTATTCGAATGCTAACTTCCTATCAAGCTACTGACTTCCTTCAACCCTTAAAGCTTCCCCATCTTTAGTGCCCCGAGTGGATGATCACTATAGCTGTAGCTCCTGTCAGAAAGGAACCAGGAATTCATGACGCATATATTCGCTGAATTTTTGTGTTGAGTCAGTGAAGTCTAGATAAGGCAGAAGGAGAAACAAGTTCAGAAGCTACAACTTGCCTGATTATTCGGTGTGTAAAACAGGAACTAAAAGCCTGTAGTCTTAATCATATTGTTAAGAGCGGATTTGCCAGTTTTGTTTTTGGGCCTGTTTGTTAAGACATGAAACATCCCCAGGGCTAAATTCTTAAAAAATATACCGTGCATAGATATAGTCCTAAGTCCTCCAGGTTAGTAACAGTCTTTTGGCTTGTTCTTGGGGTGGAGGAAACTGAAACGGGGCGAGAGGCACAGCCCATCCAAGGTCACAGCTAACTAGAAGTGAAGCTGGAGTTTAAAGGTCGCACCTCTTCCGGGTTCAAAAGAAAACAAAAACCGTCTCTGGAAATGCTGGACAAGAGCAGGAAAGAAGAGCAGAGGCTATGACTGTCCTTGATGAGGTCATGGTGGGAAGAGTCACTGTGCAGAGATCGAAGGAACACTCACCGTTGCATTCTGAGCTACCCACAACCTCAGTTCGTGCCTAATGTTAAGCTTTTAATGCCAGCACTTGGAAGGCAGAAGCAGGTGGATCTCCTGAGTTTGAGGCCAGCTTGGTTGGTTTACTTGGGGGAATTTCAGGCCAGCCAGGGATACATAGAAATTGTCTCAAAATGATCAAAACGAAACAGGGTGCTGAAGGAATGGTATAGCACTTAGCACAGCCAACACTTGCAAAGGGTTTCGGTTAGAGCATCACTCTCTTCTCTGAGAACGTGTAGTGCTTATCTCGTTCCTTTCCCTTCTGGACTTCAGATCTTGGCAGGGACTGCTTTGTTTTTGTGGGCTGCTTGGTTGATCAGGGCAGGAGGAAAAGTGGGGAAAATCCTTTGAATGAGAGAAATGCCAAAGAGGTTGAGGAGAGGGCTCTGGTTCTAGTACAAACCCTTACTCATTCTGACTTAACATACATCAGTGTTGAGGTAAGATTGATCCCTTTGAGTCCGTTCTACCAGAAATTCTGGAGTTGCTTTATTCTCTGTCAGAAATAGATTATTACCGTCCATTTTCAGTGTGAGATGCCAGCTTGTCGCAGAAAATTATTCTGCTGCTTTAGTTGAGCCCATGGTCATAAGCGGGAGGGATATGCTTTCTCAAGCTCCAAACTATTTTTTTAGATAAGGCTTTGTGTCCTAAATCAATAAAATGGGAAATTTGGGAAAGGGGCAAGTCCTAGCCAAATGAAGACAAGGACAGAAATTTCTCCAGATTGAAGGACCTTAAAAACCACTGTCCTGTACCAAAGCATTGCACCAGCTTTTTGCCTTTCACTTTGGTGGTATCCCTTTCTGCAAAAACTATATATTAAAAACTGCTTCATTCTATTAGTCTCTTGAATACATTATTATATTGTTTATAGCAGCTCTGAGACAACTAAAGATACAGCGGTCGGCTAATCATAACTGTCTTTATTTACTGAGCGCTTGTGATGTGGTCTCTATGTGCCTAGTACTTTACAACCAAGACCTCACTTATCCTTCACACACACCCCACCACCGCTACCACTACCACCCCATAAGAGACCCTGCCATCCGTGCCTCCTGTTTACAGAGGATGGCCAGGAGTTCTTCATAATGACCTAGGATTACAAAGGTGATAAGAGAGACAAGATTTCAACTGATGTTCCAGTAGGGAAGGGAAAGGAAGGAAGGAAGGAAGGAAGGAAGGAAGGAAGGAAGGAAGGAAGGAAGGAAGGAAGGAAAGAAGGGAGGGAAGGAAGGAAGGAAGGAAGGAAGACTACACCTGTGTTATAAATTCTTTAAGGCCAAATGATTAGCTTTAAAATTTTGGAGCAGTTAAGACGTTGCATACAAGAACCAAAATATATTGAGATATTTTTAGTCCTTTTGAAAGCCGTTCATTTCCGGTTCCTGTATCTGATTTAACAACCTATAACTACCAAGACCTTGAAATGTATCCTTAATAGACCACCAGCTTCTATCAATCAAAAGCTAAGAACGTTATCAGGTATAATTAAAACCTATAACAGAGGGCTGGAGAGATGGCTCAGTGGTTAAGAGCACTGTCTGCTCTTCCAGAGGTCCTGAGTTCAATTCCCAGCAACCACATAGTGGCTCCAAACCATCTGAAAAGAGATCTGGCGCCCTTCTCTGGCGAGTGGGTATAAATGGATGCAAATAGTTGTATACATAATAAATTAATCTTTAAAAAAAAACCTATAACAGAGCTTTCCTGATTTGCTCTAACCCACCTATAGGTAGATAAATACTTTGATTTAGAACTTTGCTTTGTAACTAATAGAAATCTCATGTAACCACTTCTACAATGCAACATTGTATTTGGGGAAATAAAAAAAAAAAAACAGAATCTGTATTCCTGAGCCATAATCAGTTGAATTTGACTCCAGAATAAACATTCTTAATCCTTTTGAGGTGAAAACTTTGTCTGGGGGCTGACACTTTCCACCCCTAGCTAATACCCCTGTATCTAGTACTCAGGCACAGATGCCTTTTGATCAAGTGCAGAAGATGAGCAATGCTTAGCATCTCAGATGCTTCAGGTGCTTTCTGAGGGCATCAAAGTCATTGTTAAGGTTTGGATCTGAACTGCCTGCCCAAACGCTCTTGTTTGAAGGCTTGGTCATCAGCCTGTGGTGTTGTTGAGAAGTGGAGGAAACTTTAAGAGCCACGACATTAGATCTCTGGGAGCAGAAAGGGAATCATGGAACTTCATCCCTTTGTCTCTGAGACAAACCTAGGGATCTCCTCTCCCAAAGGATCTGTGGCTAAAGGTTTGTGTTCTGACCTCTATTAGCATTTAATACTGTATTATTGAGAATGGTAATCCTATGATTAGCTTTTGTCATAATCACACTTGATTATTTATGTAAGTAAGCTAAACTAGTAGGAATGTCAAGAATTTAGTCTCTTGAGTGACAGTTGACAGATCTTCCCCAACTTGTGCTACTTTGAGTTGTCAGCCAAGCAGCCCCTCCTTTGGCAACCAGCAGAGGGCAGTGTGGCTGTTCTCAGCACGCCACAACCACTTGGAGAAAATTACCCAGCCGCAGAACCACACACCCACGACTGCTGGTGGAGCTGTGACTTCTGGAGGTCTGGCTCTAGTTATGGCCACTCTAGACGACTTGCATCTGCTTTGGAAGACTCCTCTCTGGGGAAGATAAGCATAGGTGAACGGTAACCCCCAGCTTCTTAAAATGTGACACAAACGGGGTCCCTTAACTGAATGTGAGGGCTACAGCGAAAGGTTTCTGAATGTACAATGACTAAAACTTTAAAAAGGGGATAGGAGGGATGACCCGGCAAAAACATCTGCTGTGTAATCATGAGAACTGAAGTTTGGGTCCCAGAAACTAAATAATAGGCTGTGTGTCCAGTGCACACCTGTCATCCCAGCTCTGAGATAGGCAGAGACAGGAGGATGGCTGGGGCTGGCTTGCTTCCAAATTCAGGGAGAGGACCTGGCTCAGAAGAGTAGGCAGACAGTGGTAGAGGACACTTGATGCCCTACTCTGGCCTCTACACACACACACACACACACACACACACACACACACAGAAGCACACACACAGAGAAACACACATACACATGCACACAGAGAGAGGCATGTGTACCCCCCCCCCCACAGGTCCACTTATAAATAAACAAATCAGTTAAAAATAAAATTAAAAATCAAAGATGTGATAAGTCCCTAAGATATTTCCATCAGCACTTGCCTTGACGAATCACACAACTTTTATGCAGCCTTGCTTTTGAACACACATGGTGCACTTAGGACTACAAGTACTGTCCCTCCATAGCACACCAGTAAATGATGCTTGAAACACCTTAGATCAGAGTTGAGACTACTATATATTATAAATGGCAGTGTTCTTTGTTGTACTTATCAAGTTTTTTTTAATTTATTTATTATATGTACACATACCAGAAGAGGGCACCAGATCTCATGTCAGATGGTTGTGAGCCACCATGTAGTTGCTGGGAATTGAACTCAGGTCCTCTGGGAGAGCAGCCGGTGCTCTTAACCTCTGAGCCATCTCTCCAGCCCTTAAGTTTTCTGATGTTATTGAAATACAATGCATTCACTGTGGAAAATGTTCAATATTCCCTACCCCCATTCCTCAGCATAGAAGCGTCAAATTAGGATATGCTTGGACAGCACTGTTAGAATGTTTGATTTTCAAATTTTCTGTTTGATTTTCTGAATTGCACTTCGTTAAAAGTTGTTAAACTTTTCTTGGGATATGACCAGAGATATTCCCCAAAACTCTGAAATGGCCCCAAACATTTAGGTAAAGCAGCACTGTCAGCAGTGACCTTTATAAAATCAAAATATCATTCAACTCTGACAGACACTGACAATGCTTTGTATCTTATAGTACCAAATATTTAGTCAACAGGCAAA